ATCAGATTCATTTTTTGGCTTACTCTTGCCTCATACGCGTATGCCCATAATATGCATTTTTATGCTATATTATGTGGCTTACCTAACTATGATTTAGAATTTAATCGGCTTTTTTAAGCTTGGGTGCATAAGTTTTACTACATGCACGCCTTATCTCTGTGCTATGGTTTCGCTCTATTGCCAGATAATGCTCATTGCCTCTTGCTAGATTTTTACTTACTGATGTCTTGTACAGAATTTAATGCATTTTATTAGGCTAAATAGCTATAAAATTTAAATTAATGTATAATTAGGACATTCTGATTCCTGGTGTTTATATAATATATAGTCAAGCTTATACTTGGCGAATTTTTCCGTACTAAATTTCAGCACTCCCTTAGGATTTTATTCAGGGTTTATTCATTATTTAAATCAATTTTGTTCAGACCTTCACTATAACTTAGTTGTTCTTGTATAGCATTGCCATATACACAAAAACATATGGATCTTCGTTTTCTAGGCTTAATTCAGTTTATTGTTAAGCAGTCTATTTACCCTATAATCGGACATTTGTGAAATATATAAATAGTTTATTTTCGTTTCGATTCGTTGTTATACTTGAGGTAACTTCGAACTCTGTAAACTATCTGAAATTGTAACAAATAATTTTTAATATTATTGGGGTTTTAATGTGTTAAATGTGTATGTGAGTAACTGCCTCTGTAAAAAACCTGCTTTGTTAAATGTATAGTTATTATACTATTTAAAAACAAATCTCGATCCAAGATATTGTGAGTTAAAGATACAGAAATATCTGCTTCTTCCTTTATTGCTAGATAGGGTAAGCCCATTCTCAGAAATAGCATCAACAGATTTTAAAACTTTACCCACTATATTTTTAAGCCTTAATTTAGCTGGTCTTTGGTCTGCATAACCTTTACCTTTAATATCACGCTATTTTATTATAGGGTCTGTTTCATCATACGCCTCTCTCTGGCATTACCATGAGTGGTGGCAGTGCCAACGGTACAAGTGGCGGTGGGGGTGGCGGTTCAGGGAGGGCCAACTTTCGCAGTCCACTTGGATGTTGTATATGTGGCACTAAATCCTCCAGTTCTCGATTCACAGCCAGCGCCCGTTATTCTAATTATTTCTCTGCTTGCTTTGGTCATAACGCAGCCTTGCGTCAAGGTGATCTCTGCAACGCATGTGTTCTTTGTGTCAAGCGATGGCTTCAGCGGGGCAAGGCGCCAGAACATTTTTCCCATGTAAGCGAGGTGATTTTATTATATTTATTTATCTATACACTTAAGTCATTTTTTCTTACTAGTTTTACCATATTGCTCATTTCTCAGCCGTAATTTTTGAGACCCAATTTGCCTTTTTT